TGTGAAACAAAAGGATGTGATTAGGCAGTAGCAGATTGTTCCCTTCCAGGTGGTGATTTAGGGGAGTACAGTCTATTATGCGGTTTTGCCATATTAGAGTTCCTTAGTTCAGATATGAGGGTAAAGAAGAGAGAACAAGAAGGAAGAGAGAAGGAAGTAGAAGAGCATGAACATGAGCTGAGGTCTTGTAAGGAGCCAAGCATGAAAGTGGTAAGTATACAGCGTTCCATCTCCCATTTTATTGTCCATGGCTAGTCCCAAAGCTGCAATCACGGTTTTAGGAAATCAAGTTTCTCCAAATCTCCTGCCATAAGAAGCAGGTTAGATGAGGATCCAAGCTATTCTGATGTTAACAGTTAATTGTGTAACATACATATATTCCTAAAATTCTTTGTAATGTCTCAATCAGCAAAGGACCCAAGAAAATTTATGTCATTATACTTTCTTCCCACTTTAGACATTGGCAGAAAGTGAAAGAACCACTGAGATAGCTGCTTCTGAACATTTCACTGTTACACAGTTAGCTGGAAAACAACAGTGTCCCTGACAGGTTCCCACTATACAACATGTCTTTAGGGGGATGGAGAGATGGCTCAGCAGTTAAGAACACTGAATGTTCTTGCAGAAGACCCGGGTTCAGATTCCAGCACCCGCATGGCAGCCAACAACTGTCCATAATTCCAGTTCTAGGGGATCCAACTCCCTCTTCTGACCTCTGCAGGCATTGCATGATATAGGTGCACTTCCATACATGCAGGCAATACACGCAGACACACAAAATAAAAATAATACATAAAATAAAAATAATAAAGTATTTTTTTTTAAAAAGTGTCTTTAGATTTTGCATCCTGTTAGTCTTCAATAGACAACAAAGGTAAAGACATTAATGATCATTGTGCATTTGAATTACCTTGGGCAGTCTCAGAAGAGATTTTATTGTTGTTTTCCTACTGTTTAATAAATGTGGGTCATTCTTGCAGCCAGTATTTGTCATGAGTTCTGATGAAGGGGTGATGGCAGGTTTGAGATCCTAAATCACTACATAAACTGACTTACTCTTGTGAGATAATTAATAATACTTAACTTGATCATTTCTTTAAAAAAAAAACCCATGATTAACACCTGAATAGAGGGAGCAATTTATTTAGAAGGAAAATAAACTAAGAAATTTAAAGCCAAATAAATGTATTTGGGGCTATGTCTAATTAATCATTGAAGTTAATATACTCCTCATGTCCTCTAATGTGTCAAAGTTCTGTTGATTATTTGAATCTCATTTCTTCTGGCAGTTGAGAAATAGTAAGATATTAATTGTTGATCTCCAGCACTAGATTCATTTATATTTCTCTTTTTTAACTTTTACATAAACTTTATTGAGAATTTCATACATGCATATAAGGTGTTTTGATCAAATCCATGCCTACTCCTTCCCCTCCCATATTTCCCCATCACTTATTTTTTCTTTGCTTTTTTTCTTCAATTCTGCCACTTAGTCACTGTGTGACCTTGGGTTCTATGGGTGGCCCAGGCATTTGTGGCATCAACTACCAAAGTGTGGGTAGCTTAGACGACAAGAAATTCAGGGCTGGAGAGATGGCTCAGAGGTTTAATAGCACTAGCTGCTCTTGTAGAGGACCTGGGTTTGACTCCCAGCACTCACATGATGGCTAACAACTGTCTGTAACTCCAGTTCCAGGGGATCTGATGCCTTCTTCTGACCTCTTTTGGACACTGCATGACATGGGTGCACTTAGATACATGTAGGCAGTACAGTCATACACATAAACTAAAAATATTTTTTTAAAAAGATGTATGTTTTCTTATAATTATAGATTCTAGAAGTCTAAGACCAGGGTACCAGTAGGATCTGCTTGTCCTAGGGCCTTCCCGTCCATTTTCACATGGTCTTCCCGCTGGTTTGTGTCTGTGTTCAACTATCTTCTTTTTAATAAGGTCACTAGTAGGATTTGGTTAAAACTCACCATAATAATCTCATTTTAACTTAATTCTCTTTAGAGACCCTGTCTCCAAGTGTAGTTAGATTTTGAGGTGCTGGTGGTAAAACATGAATTTGGGGTGCTGGAGCAGTGATTCAGCTTGTCACAGGCCCTTAGCCCTGTTTGATTTCTTTATGCTTTCTTGTGGTAGGGAGTGTGTGGCCTGAATAGGCAGCTAGAAGGTCTGTAACCTAATCCTCCCTCCCTCTTCTCTTCCTTCCCTCCTGTCCTCCCTCCCTCCCTCCTTTTCTTTCTCTCCTACTCCTTTCCTCTTTTTCTTTATTTTTTTTTTAAATTTTTGAGACTCAGTAATGTAGCTCAGGCTGACCTTGAACTCATGATCTTCCTGCATTAGCTTCCAAAATCCTAGGATTATAGGCATGAGCTACCATACCTGAGTAGCATAAATCTTGCTATACTTAACTGTGTCATCAATTCCAGGTGAGAGATGACTCTATGCACAGCCTTTCCATTACTGACATTCCACATTATTGTAGTCTCTCCCTGTGCCTCATAGTTTCTTAACAGACTTCCCTCAGTGGAGTCCAGGACATATGGATGGAGAAGATGGTATGAATTTGTTGTTGAGTGACCTGCAGTTGTCACTTTGGTGCTCTTAGGTGCTGTAGATGACTGTGGAAAGCTCATGGGTTTCCTAGTTCCTATAGTGGTCTGCCCAGTGACTTTTACAGAGCAAGATACACACTTCAAGAAGAGTAATCACTCCATGTTAGGGTCAGGAGGCTCTGCATTTTTTACACTGTGAAAGGAGAAACTGTAAAATCACTGAACATAAGAATTAGCCAATTACTGGTGGTGATTTTTAAATAATGCAGTATATATGAAAGAATCTGGCTTTCCTGTGAATATTAGCTATCTTTGGCATTTTTATGAAATGCCTTATGGAAATCGATAGTTATTTCCCATTAGTGTTATAGTTAGTTATTTCAGACTCAAGGAATTATCTATTTTTCAAATCTCTGGCATGTCTTCCTTTAGTTGGCCTAAATACTCTTTGCCTTTGGTCAAGGGATCTGGAGAGGCAGTTCAGCAGTTAAGAGCACTGACTGCTCTTGCAGGGGACCTAGATTTGGTTCCCAGCATCCACATGGTGGCCAACAACTGTCTGTAACTTAAGTTCCAGGGTATCCAACACTCTCTTCTGACCTCCATGGGCATTGCACAACGTGGGTGCACTTACATACATGCATGTAATATATTCATACCCATAAAAAATAAATATAATAAATAAAATATTTTTTAAAGCCCTGCTGCTGTCACATGCTGTCACAGTCAGTTCATATTAAATTACATCAAGCCTGGCTCTGTACTGGGGTTAGAAGGATGGTTTCTGATGTACGATGTCAATAGTGATTGCCCATCAGTTGAGAGAATTTGGGGTATAATGGGAAATACAGTGGTTGTTAAATTCATGCAGCGTGCATTGCTCTAACTAGACATAAAGGGTATATTATTTAGAGATCACATTCAGTTCCATTTAGAGCATTTTAGCTGCTGATCTGTAAGGCAGGGGTACTACTAGCCCAGTCAGTTACTCAATCTTCTGTATGGCAATGAAATAGCTGGTAGCTTTAGGCTCATAGCTTGTTTCTGAATGGATTCTGATTCCTAAAAAAATGCAAGGCATAATTACAAGATTGGAACTTGGAGCCTCATCCCCACCTCTGAGGAGGAAGGAGGGACTGAGGGTTGAGTTAGTGGTCAGTGATTTGACCTGTCATACTTACACACTACAACTTCTATTAACACCCATACCAGAGCGTTTAGAGAGCTTCTGAGTTGGTGAACAAACACATCAAGATGCAGGTAGATTGAGTGGCAAAGATAGAGAGGGCATGAAAACTCTGTAGTCCCCAATACCATCCCTCCACATCCCTTCCATTTGGCTAATTTTTAATCATGTCCTTTAGTGTAAGCCATTAAAAGTAAGTAAAATGTTTTCCTAGTTCCATGAGCCATTTTAACAAATTATCAGATCTTCTGGAGTTGTGGAGAGTCATGGGAACTACTGATACATAGCTGGTTAGTTAAAAAGAGAGGTTACTTGGAACTGGTGACTGGCCTCTGAAGTGGGGGCAGCCTTGTGGATAGGAGACTTTAGCCTGTGGAGTTTGTGCCAACTTTTAGTAGTAGTCAGTATCAGTTGAATCAAATTGTTGGACAACCTAATTGGTATCCAGAAAATTCAAAGGATTGATTTTTGTGAGAAAACCCCACATATTTGGTATTAGAAACACTATAAGTAAAATTAGTGCAAATGTATCCACAAATATGAATTTACATGAAGTACTTTTTTCAATTTTAATTTTTAAAAAATTTATTATTTTTAATTTTTGTGTATGAGTGTATTGCCTGCATGTATGTAAGTGCACCCCTGTCAT